TATATATAAAGCCGATAGTTCTCGACATGTAAAAACATTTGAACTGTGAACGAGTAAATCTAATATTTAAAGGAACTGAACACCGAAGACCAGTTGGAGTCTCCAACTGGGACAGAAGTCTGATCCTGGTTTAGAGCTGGAGGAAACCTGTCGAGCAGCTCGTCTTCTGTGTCTCGGTCACCGTCCTGCTCTGGTCCAGTCGCCTCCTCAGCTGTGTGCGCTTTCACATGTCCGTTGAGAGATCGTCTGGCCTGGAAGCTCTTCCCGCAGACCTTGCAGACGTATGGTTTCTCTCCGGTGTGAATCAGAATGTGTCTCCTCAGGTCTTCACCTTGCATGAAGCCCTTCCCGCACACCTGACACAGGAAGCGCCTCTCCTTGTTGTGGAAGCGGATGTGTGTGTCAAGAGTCCCTTTCTGGGTGAAGTTTTTGCCGCAGATGCTACAGGAGAAAGCCCGCTCACCTGTGTGAATCTTCAGGTGCGTTTTGAGGTTGCCAATCTGGTTAAAGGCCTTTGGACAATGGCTGCAGGTGAAGGGCTTCTCTCCCGTGTGAATCCTCCGGTGCATTAGCAACGCTGACCGACCCGGGAAATATTTCCCACAGGTTTCGCAGGTGGAGCCGATACAACGGTGGGATTGCAGATGCGTGGCGAGGCTGACGGTGGAGTCGTACTGTTCTCCACAAACTGCACAGCAGCAGTTTGGATCCTGTGCATGAGTCCTTCCGTGATTAATTAACAGTTTCTTCAGCTCAAAGACTTCCCCGCAAATTCTGCACAAGTGTGAGCTTTTCATTCTGGGAGCAGTAAGTTTCCGATGGGTCGTCATGTGTTTCTGTAGGTTCTGCCGCTCATGGAACTTCTCACTGCAAACGCTGCAGGTGTGGACAGATGTTTCAGCGTGCTCCTTCGCATGGCGCTCCAACGAAGTCATGTGACAAAAGGCACGAGGGCATTCTTTACATTTGAAAGGTTTCTCCGAAGCGTGGACGTGCATGTGAGACATCAGGTAGCTCTTATGACTGAACTTTTTGCCGCACTCGTGGCAGCTGAAAGGCTTCTCACCGGTGTGCAGCCGGACATGGAGGTCCCGCGAAAGGATGGAGGCGAAGGTTCTCCCGCAGAAGGAGCAGGTTTTGCTGTTCTGCTGGTGAGCCTGCAGGTGAGCCATCAGGCTGCCGGATGAGTCCAAGGGGTCCCCACAGAAGCCGCAGCGGAAGTCCGGGTTCTTGAAACAGACCCTTAGGGCATGCTGGAGCAAGAATCCTTTCCCTGGACAAACACGACCGCACACGTAGCAGCTGAAGCTCTGAGTCGGCTTTGAGCGCTTTCGTTTTTTCACAATGCCTAAAGATTCAAGCTTCAGCAGTTCTCTCTTCTTTTCCCCAAAAGAGCCGAGAGGCCGACCTCTCTTCTTTTTCCCAACAGATCCAGGTGACTGGCCTCTCTTCCTTTTCCCTGCAGATTTAAACATCTGGCTGTGCTTGGTCCACTCCTCATCAGGATCTTCATCGCTGCTTATAGAGGAATCGAGGCGGAGAGACGGTAGTGGGGAGCAAGGCGATGGAAAGTAAGAATCACTTTCAGAGTCGGACTGATCCAGGTCTGCTGGACCAACTGCAGGTTGATGGTTCGAGACATTCAGGGTCACATTCTGCAGAGAATCTGATAATAGAAGAAGTAGAGCATTATTCAGGTTGGTACCATCTGGTAGTAGACTGCTGGTTCCTTTAGCAAAGAAAAATGGGTACAAAAAGTCATTTGTTCCCTCTGCGGTGAATGTACTTAACAAGGTTCTATTTAAACGCAGCCTCACATAAACCACTGTCTGCTGGGATGTTTCCATATTTTAATGTATCGTGCATTTTAGAATGGTTTTAACTGAATGTTTTTAATTGATTTAGCAAAGCTTTTTAATGTTTTTAAATCACATTTTTATCTTGTGTTGTTTTTATGAGCCAGATGTCAGACAAATCTCCATTTCATTGAATGTTATGGACAACACAGTTGCATTGATTGACTGATTTGATTTAGCACTATACAAACCTTCACAAGTATCAAAAATAAACAGAATTAAACAAATGCAGGTTCCAAAATGTCTAAATGTTGAAAAAACAAAGATATGCTGAGGGTTTTCATATTTTTGAAACCTAAAAGTTTTAGTTTCTGGAAATAAACTATAAAAAAAGAGTCATATCTTCAATTTATAGAGGCTGATAAAAATATATAGTTTATATCACCAAAATTACTGTGATTATAAGTTTACTTATTTAATGGAAATTTGTTTGAATTGGATTTAAGAAAAGTGCAGAATCAGTAATAAAGTATAAATTACTATTTCATGTATTGTCCTGAAGCATGCTCAATAATCCAGGTAGAACAATCTAACAAGGTTAAGTCAGGTTCTCTGACGGATTCTTGTTTGTTTGAAACATTTCGTCTTTTATCCAAAAGACTTCTTCAGTCTGAGATCTTGTCTTATAAAACTTATAAAAATAGGCTCGGTCTTATATGACTTAACCTTGTTAGATAAGTATGTATTTTTAATACCAACTCAAGAATGTTGGCTTTTAGTCTTTAAAAGAGCATCAGACATATTTTAATCATTTTGTCTGAAGGTTTATTTAGGAAAAATAGGTCTATGAAACACTTAATCTGCATATTTTTTATGTAAATAACTAGTCCTATTGTCACAATTACACTGCAATGATTTATATGCATACAAATATATATATATATGTATATATATGAAGAAAAAAACTTTGTTTATCCAAGAATTTTAATCTAAATACCCCTGTCCGCAGCTTCCTCCTCTTCGTGGTCTGTCTTCTCTTCTCTCAGCTCGCCAGGACTTTTATTCTGAAGCTGACCGGAACTGGAACTGTGAGCGGATGAATCGCAGGCTGATGGTGATGCGGCTTCTGCGCGTGCAAAAAGCTCAGATTTATCCGCTTTTTGCAACTTGACTAGTGGGTTTAGTACAACATCGAGCAGCCTCTTCTGGCGGCAGATCTCCTGCTCTGACCGCTGCACTCGGTCCTCATAATCCACCACCGTTCTCTTAAACAGAGCGATGATCTCCTCCGCCGCCGCTGTCAGCCTCTCGGTGAGCAGAGTTTTCAGTGTCCGGAGTTTAGCCTCTTTTTTTACGTTTTCCAGCTGCTGTAAAACGTCTTTAGCGGCGGCGTTAATCCGCTCATGTACCGCCACCCACAGCAGCTGATCCCCGCACATTCTGATCCTTTTTACCTCTTTGAGCCTCCAGAACAAAGACACCCTGCAAAGATGTAAACACTGTTCTCTGTCGATTACATCCGGTTAAGGAGAGCGCGTGAACAGCGACCCCTACTGGACTGGAAGAATCAGATATTTCTTGTTTTTTTTGTTTATTGCTTCAATTTTAATGCTGATTAATAAATCCCAACATAAGACGAAAATTATTTTTTTCTAACTGCAGACAACAGTAACACCTTTTAAAATAAAGGTGCAATATTTTCCAAGAATAAAGCTAAAATCTTGAATACATTTAAAAGATTAAAAAAATAAGATTTATTCTTCAAGATTGAAGGAGACATAAAATGAAATCAAACCGGGAGTTGTGCAACGACTACAGTATTTCAAAGGAACCCCACAATCAAACGGGGCTGCGCTGCACGGACACGTAAATATACTGATGATTTTTCTGCTTTTTGTAGAGAAGCTTTGATTTTTTCACACGATACAAAAATCAGGTGATCAAGATGTTTGATTAGATTATGCAACCTTTTTAATATCAATCTCTTCTGGCAATAATGACAAATCTGATGTTTAATGTAATATTTCAAATACATCAGTCACTTTAAATTATGTTGTACATGTATTTATAACTGGGCTCATGCACAGTGGTGAGTTTTTAAATAAAATGCATCAGTAACCTACAGCAAAATTCAGAAGAAATAGTGACTGCATGATCTAACGAATGAGTTTGGCCTGTTTTAGAAAAGTTTAAAAGAAATGCTTACAAATCAATCAATACTTGTTTGATGCCTAATGTGTAGTAACATTTTTAAAATGAGTTTTGACAAACATTTAATGGATCATCGAGGACAACACAATATTTTAAATACAAGTAAGCCAAGTAAAAACTATTCTCACTGAATTATGAAAACCTTAAAAACATATCCTGATGCATGCTCATATGACATATGTCAAAAACATATGTTTTAAAGCATGTAGCGTCCTCACTGATGTTTATTGTCAAGAGGAAAAAAAGTTGATTCTATACGTCTCAACAACTGAAACTACTATTCTGAAACTAAAAGTAAAAGTTTCAATGAGTGAATGAACAACTACAGCAGCTGACTGATTTTCTGGTTAATGCAACTTACATTGACTGTCATAACCAAGAATCTTTTTGGTAATATTTTTAATATTTAGCACTATAATATGAAATGTTTAAATACTTAAATTCACAAAGTTTTGAGTAATGTCTTTAAATAAAAACTGGCATAGCAGTATCTCAAGTAAATTTTTTTACAAAGATGACAAAAAAAAAACAATAGAAACAAATGCAGTCAAGAGTGATCCCAAACTTTTCCAATATAAATTCTGTTTTTACATTTATTCCTGCACATCCTGATCATTTCAAGACCATTAAAAAAATCTCACCTCCAAGGCTCCACATCACAGATTAGTTTGGAGCCAAAGATAATATGCATATTCTAGTTTTTCCTGGATTTATTAACCAAGATTGTTCAGCCTAAAACATTTTCTAGATCACTAAAAGCTATAAAAATATAAATATTTACGTACAATAAATGCAGTATTATGCAAATCAAAACTGTGTTTCAGTTTTCTCTAATTTGATCTAGTTTAACCTCAGTCAAAGTAGGTTGAGTCAAGAAAATTTAAGACTTTCTGAATAAAACATAATCAAATCCATATTGATCCCACACACATTTTAGAGGCAACAGCTTTTCCAGCCAACTGGACATGAACTTAAGAACTTTTCCAACAAACTGATAACCATGAAGCTTAATAGCTTAAAAAGTCAGAAATGTGAGATCAGATGTTTTTACAGTTAAAATTCAACTAACCATGAAAAAACATGGTCCTTTCTGTAACATCTCAGTGGTTCTGAATGAAGCTGGAGGAAACATGATATTGAACCTGCTGGATAACAGGATCCCAAAAGATGTCCTGATGATCCAGAAGGAAGTAGTATGATGCAGATGAAGTCCTTCAGCCTCAGTTTAGAGGTCACAGCTGGATGAAGTCAGGTTGAATTTCTTCCTGATGCTTTGATATCTCAGCCAAGTCTTTGGCAGTCTGTTCTCTTGTGTGGACCTTCATGTGCGAGTCCAGCGAGCGTCGGTCTTGGTAAGACTTTCCACAGACATGGCAGCTGAACGGTTTTTCACCAGTGTGCGTCATCATGTGTCTCTTCAGGTCGATCTTTTGGACAAAGCCTTTGCTGCAGAGCTGGCAGATGAAAACTTTATCCTTCTTGTGGAACCGCTCATGTGTCTCCAGTGAGATCTTCTGGCGAAACCTTTTCCCACAGAGGCTGCAGATGAACGGCTTCTCGCCTGTGTGGATCCTCATGTGAGAGTCCAGGTTGCCGATCTGCCTGAAACTTTTGTTGCAGACCTTGCAGGTGAACGGCTTCTCCCCTGTGTGGATCCTTTTGTGGACATCCAGATGTTGGCTCATGGTAAACTTCTTTTCACAGAGGTCACAAGAGTAAATCCTGGGCTTCTCACCTGTGTGATTCTTGATGTGCCTTTTCAGAACTGCGTTTTCAGCAAAAGTTTTGCCACAAAACTCGCATATATACGGCCTCTCATCAGCGTGCTGCTTCTCATGTCTTTCCAAAGAGTTTTTCCTGGGAAATTCCTTCCCACAGTCTTTGCATTTGAAGGGTTTTTGACCTGTATGTGTCCTCATGTGGATCTCCATGTCCCTGAAGTTGACACCGCAGATTTCGCAGATCCGGCTCGTCTCTCTGTGACTCTGGATGTGGAGCTGCATGCTTTCCGAGGATTTGGACTGCTCTCCACAGATGCCACAAAGAAAGTCTGGATCATTTAAATGTGTCTCTGTGTGCCGCACTAAGCTGCCTTTATTGTGAAAAGCACTCCCGCAGACCTTGCAGGAGTACGAAGGGTCCAGGCTTAGTTTTCTGCGTTTGCTCCTCTCAGTCGGCTGGTTGTTGGACTCGTGGCTCTGGGAATGCTGCCTCAGTTCTGGATTTGTTGGAAAGCCTTTTTTGCACACTTTGCAGCTGAATGGCACCTGTGCATCATGGTTCTTCATATGTTCCTCCAGTGAGTTGCTGTTGCTTAACTCTTTGGAGCAGATTGTGCACAGAAATGTCTTATCCTGGTGGGTGTGCAGGTGAGTCACCATGTTTCCCTTCTGGCTGAAGCCTTTGCCACAGAGGTGGCAGTTAAAAGGTTTTTTCCCTGTGTGCCTCCTCAGGTGTGTCTCCTGAGCTCGGATTGAGGGGAACTTTTTGCCGCAGAAGTCACAGGTTCTGCTGCTGTCTCTGTGAATTTGAAAATGCTTTCGCAGATCGTCACTTGAGTCCAAACTTTCGCCGCAAACACCACACAGACACTCAGCTTCCTTTGTGTGTTTCTCCACATGTTTAATGAAATAGCCTTTACTGTCAAATGACTTCCCACACACTCTGCAGCAGTGAGATGTGGCCTTGGCTGCATCATTTTCCTCCTCCTCTCCTGTCGCATCATCCTGAGAGGAAGCTTGGCGGTTTAATTTGGAAACAGTCTCTGTTCTGGATGAAGTGCTGGGTAGAGCCTCCATCGTCTGGTCCTCTGCTGAGAGACTTCTAACACCAAGTACAAGAACCAGATCTGCAGAGAAAACACACAACAAATTAATTTACTCGAGTCAGTGCTGCAAATTCTTAGAATTTGACCTGCAGTGAGAGTAGAACAGGAGACTGAAACTGCTCAGAGCACGATCAGCTCTGATGGAGAGCTTCAGAGTGTTTGAGTGATAGCATGTATTTGGCAGCAACCAGACTGCAACAAACTGCTTTTTCACATCAGCTAAAATATGCAGCGTTAGTTTCACGAATCCATCTGCAGAACAGTTGTAGGTTAGAGGTCCTATTATTGGCAGCACAGTGGAGCAGTTAGTAGAGCTGCCGCCTCTCAGCAAGCAGGTCGCCCCGGTTCAAATCCTGGACGGGGGCCTTTCTGGGTGGAGTTTGCATGTTCTCTCCGTACATGCGTGAGTTTTCTCCAGGTACTCCAGTTTCCTCCCACTCACCAAAAACATGCATGTTAGACTGATTGGAAACTCTAAATTGTCCCTAGGTGAGAGTGAATGGTTGTTTGTCTCTATGATATGTGTCCCTGTGATGGACTGGAGACCTGTCCAGGGTGTACCCCGCCTCTCGCAAAGTGACTGCTGGACATGGGCACCAGTGAACCCTGCGACCCAAAAAGGAAGAAGCGGGTAAAAAAATAATAGATGGATGGATGAAAGTCCTATTATTACTCTAGTAAACAGCTGCAAAAGACAAGAATAAAAACTAAATATTAATCAGCAATTATTTTTATGATCAAATAACTTGTAATTTTTCTTAGTCTATTTTGCCTTGTTGCAAATTACATTAAATTATATCCGAGTTTAAAGATGTTTGTGATAACACACACATTTATATATATACATATATTTATAATATATTTATATATATATATACACACACACATATACATACAGAAACACACTGACCCGCCCTTTTCTCTCCGTGCTCGGCTCTTGGACACTGACGGGGCTCCTGCGACCCTTTTTGGGCCGTTTTGTTCCCCTCAAACGCTTTGAAGATGAGCTCCACAGCCGCAGCGAGTCTCTCCATAACCAGCCCCCGCAGCTCCTCCAGCTCTGCTTCGCTGCGCTCCTGCAGCAGCCTGAAGATCTCTTTAGCAGCCGCCGCCAACTGCTGCTCGACTGAGGCCTTCAGTTTGATGCTCTCGGATCGTTTCCTGGACATTTTCGTGGATTTTTACGGAACAAAAGAGAAAATGTAAACAAAACAAGCCAACTTCCGGGTTATGCCTACGTAATTACGCAAAGAGCGCGTTCGTTCTTGACGCATGCGCATACACCACGTCATATTAAGCGCATATCTGGAATCATTGATTGATAGTCTGGCAGGTGTTAACTAAACGCTTCGTTAGCAAAACATTACTTTTGTGTATTGTGTTTAAATTTTACCATTTTCTTGTATATTAACTTTTTTTTTCTGTTGTGAAAATACTGAGTTTAGAATTACAGCTCTCCACCTGGTAGGAACAACTGAACTCCCTAATAATATATTTTTGTTTAACATTAATTTACCAGCGTATAACAGTGTGTTACATAACTTTAAATTATGTTCTAGTGACATTTAGAAATAATCTCTGGTGAATTCGGTATTTCTTAAACATTCAGTAAACTGGTATTTGAATTAACCTGACCCTTGTAAGAAAAAGTTCATTACTCAATATAATAAACTACTGTATTTGGTAATTAGAGTGAGTTAAGCTTAAATATAATACTATATATGCCCATATAAAATGTGACTTTCCATATTGTCATAATATGCCAATAAATGTAATAATAGTAAGCTCACAGGTCTTTTTCTCCGTAAAGTTTGTCAGTTCAATTTAATAAAATATTCTATATAAGGCATGACTTATACAGAATATTTTATATAAAGGACTTTTAATGGGTTGTTTTTACTATAGTTGACACGTCAAGCCGTTAATGAGATTGTTTTGGATGTTTTAGATCTGGAAACATGAAATATCAGAGCAGCTGAGATGTCTTAGAAGAAGAAGAAGAAGGGTATACCAGAGTGGTGGCTTGACTACTGTCCTGTTGGACAGAGGATACCAGGAACAAGATTCATTGCCTTCAAAGTGCCTTTAAAACCGTCTCTGAACTGTCGGGTCCCAGTGTCTCACTCCTTTGGTCTGTGGGACCTGCTGTTTTCTGTGGAGTCAGAACCAGGAGCTCAGTCTGATCATTGATCTCACCTTCACCACAAAGTGACACATGTCCCACAGTCGTGCTCTTACATCAAGATCTTCGTTGAGGGTCACAAAGTTCCACCTGACGCAACAATCCTGAGCTTCAAACGAGCAGTGAGGCAGTTCTTGAAGGAGAATGAGAACGATTTAATCGGAGTCCACTGCACTCATGGTCTGAACCGCACGGGGTACCTGGTCTGCAGATACCAGATAGATGTAGACGGGCTCAATCCTTCTGCAGCTCTGGAGCTATTCAACTCTTGCAGAGGTCCTTGCATTGAGAGGCAGAGCTTCCTGGATGACCTGCAGAGTGTCGCCAAGAGAAGCAACAAGGGCATTGAAGAGCCACAGGAAAAATCCTTTAGAGGGCTCGCTGTGCAGAGACAAGCGACAACGGCAAAAAACTGAGAGGCAAACGCCACAAACCACATCGAAGAAGAAACAAAGGTCTGGAGATGACTTCACGAAGAATCACCAACCAGCACCTGGTAAAAAACACAGACCTTGAGGATTCTAGATGGATCACAAATATAAATCTGGACAGAACAGTCGTCTTTCTTCATACTCCTTTAGTAACGCAGAAGCTGGAAGACGTACAAACCGTAACATCTAAGCAGCCGTCAGCAAACAGAAAAAGATGATTCTTAGTTTTCTCTGCAGTTTGTTTTTCTGATTCATTTTTGATTCATTGCAGCAGAAACAGAAAATTTAGTTTTGTCCTGTGACTGAATTAAGGCTGATTGATCTGAAGCAGCAAACATGAACTTAAATATATTTATTTGTTTGACATATTTGCAGCTGCATTGTCACATTTTTTTCTACATGTTGAGCCAAGAGTTTCAACTCGTTTAAAAAAAGTTCATGAACTTATTTTCCATACTTTTTTCTTTATATAATTTGTTTGTCAGTAGATGCCAGTGAGCATTTAAACATGTTTTATGTGGTTCGGAATTAATAAAGATTTATTGCCCATTTCACTCAAATCTAAGGATTATTTTTGAAAACATGTCAAATCAATATTACAGCTAGTTTTATAATTATGCCTACTGTATTTTTTTGGACTATAAGGCGCATTAAATAATTTCCCTTTGGGATTAATAGTTTTTTTTTTTAAATCTTTTAATTTTCTCAAAAATCAACAGTGAGTCTTATTAATTCTGGTTGTGCTTACTGACCTCGAACCGATTTTATTTGGTACACGACGCTCAAAAATCTGTCAAAACGTTTCAGTTTCACTTGATGCTTTCAGAACGACTGGAACTTGATGCATTTTTTTCTTCACATCCAAAAAATAAAAAACTTGCAGTAGACAACGTAACCAAACCCACGACTGATAAAGAGTTTAATTCCAAACAAAATGACTCAAACAGTTTCTGTTGGACAAAAGCTGCTCCCATCGACGCTTCGCTGCAATTTGTTAACAAAAATCATTCATTTTCCATCTTTCTACTTTTTAACTGGGATTTAAAACAAAGACTGTAGTTGAAACCAGTACCTATAATAATGAAACAAATTAATGATGACACATAAAGCCCCGGCGTTTGCAAACTTGAAAAATTAACAAAAGTTGTGGAAACATTTTTAATGTCAGTTACTATAGAAACGTAACTAATAAACCACAGTACAATTATTTTTCCACCTAAATCAAACTGCAGGTACATGTTTGTATAAATTAAACTTAAAGCCCCCTTCAGACTTTCCTCTTCCGCTTTTTGGTTTTCCCTGAACTATCCTGGTCCAGTTTATCCTTTCTGGGCCGACCTCTGGGCCTCTTCTTCTTCAGTGGAGTCTTGCTGGACTCGTCCGGTTTCTCCGTTTCCTTGTTTCTGATGATGTCATAGAGCTGAATCCGCATCTCTCTGCTCTGAGTCCTGACCTGAATTTTCCGCTTCCTGGTCTTTGAGTGCGTCTGGAGGTGATTTTTCAGACCATCGACAACCTCAAACTGTTCCCCGCACAGACCGCAGACCTGCTTTGTATCACGGATGTGAGCTCTAACGTGTCTGAACAAAAACCTGCGAGCCGTAAAAGTTCGGTTACACACCCGGCAGGTGAACCCGTCTGTCGGTCGATTATGCTCCTGTGGTTTTTCTGAAGCCGGTCTAGCTTCAGCAGCGGCTTTACTGTAATCATCACTGTCTTCAGTGTCGGACGACATCGCTAGAGAGCCATCTTGATTTGGAACCACTGATCCCGGTTCAGCTAACGTTTGAAAGTTGTTACGTGGGTTTATTGCATTCTTAGAATTGTAGGTGAACTCGATGATCTCGACGTCATCCAGGTCTTGGAGCTGCTCCTCCTGCTGTTTCACCTCAACACGTAAAGGCTCAGAAACCACGTCCTGGCTCAGGTTCTGGTGGTTAGGGGAAACATTTTCTTTACTGTATAGCAGCTGTTGTGTGAAGACATCTGTCAAGAAACACCAACAAACAACAGTAAACTAGAATTCTGGCCACAGATCAAATTTACTGAATTTTTACAAAAACAAAAAAAATCAGCGGCTACAACTACAGTGCTTTGAACACGGACCCAAAACCAAAAGAGTTCCTGTGAAAAGCCGTGTAGTTTCCATCTCCTCCCTACAGATGAGGAATTAAGAAGAATGTGGCTGAAAAATGTGAACTTGAAGAGACCAGCCAAAACGCGGTACGTGTGCTCATTTCACTTTGCTGGCAAACGGCCGACGGAGGAAAACCTGCACTTTACTTTGTGTCTGGACTACAAGAAACCACTGGAGAAGAGACACCGGATCCTCAGAAGGATTGAAAACAGTGTGACGAGAATATGGGATGATTTCAAGTGTACGGAGGGCACAGCATTATAGTATTTGTTCGTCTTCTGTACTACGATTTTCTCTGCAGTTAACCCAAGCTCGGTGATGAGGACTTAAAGGCTTTGGCTGGGCTCTGTGTCTGCTGTAAGGTCAATAAGATTGTGTCCCACCTCTTAACAAAACACGACCGACCTTATTATTGTGTAGATACTAATAGGCCTCAGAGCTTTTCAGGTTATTCATTGCTTCACTGTCGGAAGAACAGTCATTGAAGTAGCTAAATATGCTAGTGTAATCTGCGGCCACTTCTTCAGCTCGTCCTCCCATCCCTCTTCTGCAGTACAGCTCGGTTCCGCAGGGAAACCTTGGATGTTCTGTGTCTGCCAGACCTGGTTTTGGAGGGCAATCATCGTCCGTTCCCGTGATCATTATTATCATCATGCTGCTAACAGAACCTCACTGCTAATAGTATCATGGATTGTTTAGCGCGCATCATGAAGTCTGGACTCTGGAGTCTACGCTCATCTGCAGGCCAGCTGTCACTCTTTCAGGGATGAAGATGTTCACATTCTTGATAGAGAGGAATGCTGGTTTCAGAGGGGAGTAAAAGAAGCCATCTTTATGAAGAGAACCCATCCCTCTTTAAACAGGGGTGCAAGGATCACTCAGCCTTTGTGAATAGCAAGCGGCCATTAGGGCACTAGCAACCTGTTGTTAGGGCTCTAACATCCATTGTTAGGCTAATGGTCCTCTTTTTGCATGTGAACAGCTAGTAATGGCCGTCAGCAGCAAACTGGTTGGTCCACTATGACAAAGTTTTATTCATAAGACTGAGTGTCTTGCAGGGTTTCAGACTGAAGAGCTCTTCTGGATAAAAGATTAAATGTTTCAACAAAGAAGAATCTGTCCAGAAGACCTCACTTAACCTTGTTATGTTTTTTCGACTGATGTTCTTGTTCTGTTCAGTAGTTTTCTTATAGATTTCCTCGCTGACTTGACAAAAGCCCAATTTGTATATCCACATGTTTGGAGAGCTTTTTTTATGCTTTTCTCATCGGATTTCTACTTCAACCCACAGGAAAATGTGCTGGTCAGTCAGAGAAATGCTTTAAAGTCTAACTCATTGAGCTGCAATCCACAAGAAACTATTTCTGCTTGTGTCCAAAACTGTAAAACTCTGCAACTACTTTTTACCGAGGATTGTTAATATAGAACAATTTCCTTATTTCCAGCGCATGCGCACTAAACCTTCCAGACTGATGAGATATATACAAGATCTGATGACTTAAAGTGGATCTGAATGGTGTTGGCTGGTCCAGTCCCATCACCCCCGAACTTCCAGGTGCTGCTTACCTGTTGAAGATGCCTCCATTATCGGGTTGTTTAGCGCGCATAGCAGCGCGTGCTGACGGGAGATCACTTCCCGACTCAGTGCCGCTTCTTCTTCATATTTCACGATGGTTTTTTCAAAAGCCTCCAGGATTTCTTCCACCGCCACGTTCAGACGTTGACTGACGAACACCCGAAGCCTCTGAACCCGAGACATATTAACGTTCGAGTGTCAGAGTGAAATAACGTTCACTCGGTGCTAACGCCTGCTTCTAGCGATGATTTCCGGTTTGGCTACTTCTTCTTCTTTAGATATTTATTGGCGGTTGACAAGCTCGTTTTAAGCGCATTACCGCCATCAGCTGGACAGAGTGTGGATCTGGAGAACAGGCAAAAAAACAAACCTAGAGTCGACTAACGGTGTAAATGTGCTACTTGTTTTAACAAACGATATAACTTTACTGTATATGTTGGCTGATTTATCTTCCAACAGTCCAGTAAATGTTTTACATCACTTCATATTGTAGTTGTTTATTGTTTCGTTTTTATATCATTTTTTACTATTGACTTTTATTTTACATGTTTTTTTATGATTGTCTAGTGTTGTCTATACCTCATCTGTGTTCTTTGTTTAAAATGTGAAATCCTGATGTTTTTCCTTTCTTAATGACTGAAATAAATTATATTGATTGCAGTACATTTCCTGTTGGATGCTTGCCTATTTTATATAAAGTGTATCTGAAACCTGAGTGTCCCATTCTGAGGCATGTGATTACATTTTCTTCTTTTCTGTTCCATCTTTTCATTCTTAACCCAACATGTTTTTGTATGTTGTGTACATTTCTTCCAGTTTCCTGTAAATCTCTGCGCTCCTTCCATACAGTTCGTGTATGAATGGTTTAATTTCTGATTTGCTCAATGGGACTTGTAGTTCTACGGGCTTCCTCTTGTTTACTTGTTTTGACAGGGTGTTTGCTATTCAATTCCCTCCATATTAACATCTGCTGGAACCCAAAGGAATTGTATTTTTGTGCCTTTAATTTCGATCCTATATATTGAAATAACTATTTAATTGACGATATCTGTTCAGATTGAAGTTTACCAGTTGCAATACTACTGAGTGCAGAAATACCATCGGATGCTCCAACGTTTCTTATTTCATTCTCCTCTATCGACTGCAGAGCCAACAATATTGCCAACAGTTCTGTTGTGTAAACTGATAAAATGAAGCTCTCTTCTCGATATAGATGTTACTGGCAGGGATGTAATTTTTGGATAATGCGGCATACTGGGAGTTGCTCTGATTTCTCATTTAGTTTGATTTAAATTTACTTTAGGTGATGGAAACCACCACGGAGGAGGAGGAGAAATGGGGAGTGGTGGTGAAGAGACTAGAGAAGATGAGCCTGTTATCAAAAAGTCACAGGTTCAACTCCCGGTACCGTCAACATCAAAATGTGGGTGGAAAAGGTGAAATACCCACACCTGCCTCCACCCTCACCTGCCCCACCCTGAGCCCCTGAGCAAGGCCCTTAACCCCCAAAATCTGCTCCAAAAAAACAGGTCTCTCTTGAAAATGAGTTCTCGTGACTCAATGAGACTACCTGTATAAATAATGGGTAAATGAAAAAAACTAAACATGGAGGATAATGGGAGTGTGGGGCAGTATTGAAACAAACATAATCCAATATTTTCTGCTTTTATTTCACCTCCCCGTTCAAAACTTCTGATGTTTGTTTCATGACTCGATGAGACTACCTGTATAAATAAAGGGTAAATGAAAAAAAAAGATGTTCCAAACAATCTGTTAAAATATTTTTGGTTGGATTATTTCCATCATGTCCCTGCAGAATATTTATTTATGATTTTATTTAAAGGAATGTTCCCAGCGAGTTTTTCATCAAACCACATTCCTAAGAATCTGATTACTTTTACTGGCTCTACTGTTTGGTTATAAAGCTTCAGGGGAATGGGTGAAATTTAGTCATCTTGTGAAACAATCTGCATTTTTGTAACCGATCATTTAAATCCCCATTTATTTGTCCACTTTTCCACCTCATCTATTGCAAACTGCATTTTCTTTTTAACATAGTTAACATTTTCGTCTCTCATCCAAACAGCCCCATCATCTGCATGCAAGGACTTTCCAATATTATTCTCAACTTTAGAAAAAATGTCATTAATAATGGACTACAGATGCTATTTCCGTTATTTACTGTATAAACCGCTGAATACTCTGCTCCAGTTCTTACCTGAATTGTCCTACCTAACTAAAGTCTTTCACCCAATTATACGCTCTGCCCCAGTGAGCTCAACTTTATAAGTAATCCTTCTTCCCATAACATATCATAAGCTTTATCTATATCAAAAAAGAAGCAAGCACTATCTCTTTGTTAGCCTGTGCTTTTCTTATGTCTGATCCCAAACATAAACAGAATCCATAGCACTGGGAACGCTTGGAAACCCACTTTGATATGGTGACAAAAGATCTCTACTTTCTAAGATATGTTAGTTTCTCTGTGACCATTCGTTCCATCATTTGCATTGATGAGAAGTTGGTGCTATTGGTCTTTAACTAGACGGATCTGAAGGGTCTTTCCCTGGTTTTATGATAAACACAATTGTTTCCATATTGATGGGAGTTGACCTTTTTCCCAAATCGTGTTGAACATTTTTAAAACAGTCTTCAATGTTTCATCTGTCGTATGTGCCAACATTTTACATCATCCTTCCCAGGATGACGAGCGTTATTAATGTCTCTTTTTAATTCTAATAAAGTCAGAGGTAGATCAATAATCTCCTGTTTCTCTAACGTATTTAGATTCTTTAACAATATTCCTGTAATATCTTGCCTCATCAGATAAATTGTCTGAGCTGTGTATTTTCTTAAATGTTTGTACTAAAGGTTCAGCTTTGTCCTGATTGCTGACAGCCACCTTGTCCCCACTAAGCACTGGTAACTCATAATTCCTTCTTATTCCACTCATTCTGCTGATCAAATTCCAGATGTCCGACAGCTGCACCTCTCTGCCAATACTATCACAGTATTGCCTCCAAAATGTGTTTTGGGTTCTTGTGGTTTTCCTTACCCTTTTAAATTGGATTAAAGCTCCAAATATATGTAACTTTTTCAGTTTCCTAAATACATATTCAAATACTGCAATACAAATAAGTATTGTATTTGTATTGCAAATAATGCAATACAAATACAATACTCCATTTCTTGTTTTTATGGCTTCACTAAAGTCATTATTCCACTACGGTACTTTCTTGCCACTTTTAGTCCCCGTGGATTTAGGTATTGTTTCTTTTGCAGACTGAATTATTTCATTGACTAAGAGTTCATACAATGTGTCTGCATCCATTATATAGCAATCAAACAATAACAGCTGTTTGATTAGTTTATGCTTCTTTCATTTTGAGTTTTATTCCGTAAAATCTAGACTCAAACTCAAGACTGTACGTATAAACAAACTAGATTCGGTTCATAAAAACGTATTAAAATAAATCTGAAACAAGCAAAATGTAAATCTGCTTAAAAACAATAGGCACCTGTAAAAACATTAAAATCAAGTGGAGATAAGTCTGAAGGAGCACAGAAGCACGTTTTTTTAGTTCCCCGCTACTTTTCAGTTTCACCCGTTTCCTCTTGGGTTTCAACAGTTTTTACTTCGTTTTTAAGATCTTTTTCTTCGTGGACACCATTTTCCTGAAAACGAGAACAAGACTGATGAGAAAACGTCAAAATCTCTTGTCAGACCAGGACATATGAGCCGAGCCGACCTCTCACCTGTGGGGCCTTCTGTCTTCTCCTGAACTCTACCTCCACCAGGCTGTAGAAGTCACTTTCAGCTCTGGCGATGAGCTGCTCGGCGTCGTCCTCGCCCTCCTCTCGTACCGTTTCATCCTCTTTGCTCTGTTCAGAACGACTCCTCTCCTTCAAACGGATCTCCCTCTGACGGGCCTCCAGGATCTTTTCCCGCTTCGTCTCCCTCTCAAACATCTGCAGACCATCGACAAACATTTGGTGACGTCTCCCCTGGTTTCTGGGCAGCAGCGTGTTGTTTGTTCCAGCTCTTGGTAATATTTTCAATCCAGTTACATTCAGTGTCAAGTTTATAAATGTTTTTTGTTGTTATTTTAATAAATGATAAAAATAGATTATGGTCAGTCCTTCATGTGAACATAAAGATAACTTGTGGAAACAATTCATTAAATTTCTTTAAAAAAAAAAAAATTCTTCTTCTAGAAATAGAATAAAAATAATTTAATTTTCCAGAAATTTACATTTTAACGTAAGCAAGGATTCTGTCTTGGTCCACATGTTTGTACTTTTCACACAACTAATATTCAGTGACAAGAATCACTTTTTATATTCTGCAAATGTCAATAAACATAAAATAGTATTGTTTTAATAAATAATGTATAAATTGAATTAGATCTCAGATCAGAAAAAGTTTCAGTGTTCCTCACCGCAGCCACAAGGCTCTTTTCATTCTTCTGCAGGGTCGACAGTCCAGAGCAGATCTCCAGCAGCGTGGCTTCACCAGACAGAGAGCCGCATGCCAACAGACGCCCGTTATCCTGAACACGAAGGCTGTACAGAGGTTTGTCACACACCTGAGGACAACAACACAGAAATAACAACTGATGTAAATCACTCCGGGTCAGTGGGTTCAATCAGACAGTTTTGTATTTAACTGGTTTCAGGAAACAACACAGCACAACGACTGCTTCGTTGAAGGTTTTTAATGATGTTGAAGCACTGGATGCTAAGGATTATTGTGCTGCACTTTTCTTAGATCTGTCTAAACTTGGCAAAAGGGCCTTTTCCTACTCCGCTCCTGTTTCCTGGAATATCTTACAAAAAGATTTGAAGCTCTCGACCTTGGCCTCTCTAAGTGGCTTTAAACATTTGTTAAGTTCCTGAGAAAAACCAACACAGATATGTTCCTGTTTTTAGTTTTCCACATCGCCTTACAACCTAGCTGTTGTTTTTGTTACATTTTCTTTTAAATACCATTTATTTTCACTTGTTATTAAAAAAAAATCTCAATTTGTATACATCCTTTATGATTGTCTATTATTGTCTTTGATGTCCACTGTTGTCATCACTCATTAGAACCAGGTCTCTCTTGTAAATGAGTCCCTGAGGCTCAATGGGATTAACCTGTCTAAATAAAGGTTGAGCAAATTTAAAATACGAGCACCTTCAGACTGAGTGTGGAGTCGCGCTGTTTAAACAGGATGTCCCAGATATCCAGCATGCCGTCCATCTTTACAGTGAAGAAGACGGAGGGTCTGACAGGACTCCAGCAGGCGTCCATCAGATATGACATCTGATACCTGGAAGGCAAAGTTACTGTTTCATTGTGAAGTTACTTGAGCAGAATGTTGATCTCAAACGAAAAAGGACCAAAAGATGCAGGATAAATAAGAAAGGTTGAGACGATGAGGCAAGACAGACTGATTTGATACGAAACAACAAAGGGAAGAAATTACAAGAAAATCAAAAACATTAAGACATAAAGAGGATAAAATGTATCACAGACTTTATGTAACATGACAGGAGAGGGAGGACAAGAACAACAATAGAGACATAAAAATGTGTGAGAGGAAGATTCTTCAACCATCATGTCTTGTTTGTACATGTCAGCAGACGTAAAATAAGAGTACAGACTCTTCAGTGCAGTGGGTCTCAATCCTACTTGCTCCACATGATCGATGATTCTTTGATGTCCTCAGACCAGATACGAGCCGTCCAGTCGCCCACCGTGAGAAAGTTTTTGGGGAAGAATGGATTTCTCTGCAGGGCATAGATTGGTCCGTGGTGGCCGTCATAGGTACAAACGATCTTCTCAGCTGGAGTCTTTGCCTTCCTGTTGCAGGACACGACCAGGCCCTGCTCCGTCCCCACCATGAACTTAGTTGGCTGCATGAACATCAAACACAAGCACATAACTGTAGTAAGAGCAGACACAAAGCAACAGTCAAATAAATGTATTGAGTGTTAAGTGTTGACTTTTTTCATCTAATATGTAGTTAGTTTTACAAAGATATTTGTATTTTCAGATGTTTCTTTATGACGGAGCCACAGAAGAGGCTCCTCTGAAGGGTGGATGGAGGACCAAGTGTTTTTATTTTTTACTTTCTGCAGTTAAAAACATCCATGTTTATAAAATGAGACAGGTTTATCAAAAATCACATACCTTAAAATCTTATCAATGACATCAACATCAGTTGAAACAGTTGTACCATGAGTACAGGTTGTTATACCAAAACAGGAACACAGATGATGAACTCAGGAACATTTTATTCAGAAGAAATTCAAGAAACCAGTTCTGAAAAAGTTCTAAACTTCCCATTTTATCCTTTTTCTTAAGACTGTCATTCTGAATCCTGAACAGAGCAGGCACCAGTAGTGAAGAGGACAAACGCTCACCATAGTGGCCTCAAATTCCAGAGAAATGGCACCTAAAGCACGGTCTAGATTTCCCTCCCGGCTTGGATCCAGAACCAGACATTCTGTGGGCTCGCTCAGCTTACGGATGTCCCACCAAAGAATCTGAGAACAGAGAAATAAAATAAAAAACAACAACTCGTTATTCTAAGTAAGGCTCGTCCATTTATTTCTCAAACTAGAGTCAGTACGTCAGTAATTAACATCTGTCAGTGGTTTGTCTGCTTATCATCGCTCCGCCTTTAATCAACCTGTAGGACATCAGTTTGTCTACCTGTCCATCAGTGGAGGCAGAGAAGGCATCAGTCCCAGTCTTGGACTGCAACCAGATGATCTTGTAGACTGGGTCTCTGTGACTGTGTTCCATAGAAGAATACTCCACAGGCTGGCTGCCTTTCCGGGTGTCCCAGTAAGCTATGATGAGCACATCTAAGTAAGTCCACTTGGTTCCAGACAGAACCTCATCTAAACTGCATCAGGTCTGAAGATGAACCCACCAATCTGTCCATTGTAGCTGCCTCCAACAAGAGTGTGGGAGTCTTTTGGGTTGTAGTCCAGACAGACAAGTAGAGATGCTGGTTTCAGAGTTATCTCCGGCTGGTTTGGCTTCTCTGAAAAAGAAAACATCAGGAGTAGGCCTGTCACAATAACTAATTTTGCTGGGCGATTAATTGTCTCAGAAATTATTGCGATAAACGATAATATTGTTTGAAATTTGACAATAATGAGTAATTATTGTCAAATTTAAGAAGAAATGTTGGTTAATTTGTTTTGTGTGTAGTGTCTTTTTCGACCACTGGATGGCAGTATAGGATTGTTTGAACTGAAAGATGGATAATGCAAGAGCAGTGTGTGGCTTTAAAAAAAAATGGGAGGGAGGCCCCTTGACGTGACATGGGCTGTCTCTTCCTTTTTTGGGGGGTTCTCAAAATGGCAAATGCTCTGTGTTGTTTGAGCTCTTTAGCATTTTCCACACAAAGCTTTTAATAAAACATCAGTAAACAAGTTCTCAGCTTCTTTTTGCAGAGAAAAACAACTTTTTACACAAAGGCATGGGTTTCAACTGTGAATTCTGGAGCTTCGACAAGAAGGAGGTTTTTTTTTCCCGAGGTCGGCCTGTTAGCTTAGCTTCTTAGCTTAGCTGCTTTTAACAATCCAAAAACGTGATTTTGGATCGTTAAAATGGATTTTAAAGAGAAAGGGAGTGGTCAGTGAAGAGCACCGGAGTTGAGCCGTTTGTCATCCAGTGTCTTCAGTAGAAAGAGAGCGACACGAAGAAACGATAAAGCCGATAAATGGAAATGAGGTCGATAATTTTCATTTATCGTGCGATTAATTGATTTATTGTTTATTGCAACAGGCCTAATCAGGAGTGTACAGACTTGGCTCTGAGGTGAATTTAGTCCAAACTCCAGTGTGACCCACCAATATCCCAGATGTAGGAGTCCAGGCTTGTATTCCTGGAGGCTTTCTGGAACTCAAGGCAGGAGTAGGCTGCAGCCAGCTTCCTGCCTCCATCAGGATGCCACGACAGGCCAGTGATGGTACGTTTCAGCTCATTAGGATCTCTGCAGAAAACACAAAAGGCAGCCAGTAGTCAGTCTCAATAATGAATCAATCTGCTGATGCACTCGATGTCAACTGAACCTGAAAATACTGATGGTCTTCGCAGAAGGTGGTTCTTGAATTTCTTCCACCTCTTCCATTTCCTGTAAGTATTGCTGGTAGATGTCCGTGGCATTGTTCTCCTTGATCCGGTGCTCCATGACCTAAACCACATGATGCCATTAAACAGTCCATACTGACATCGCAGAGACAGCACTCATTATTTCTGCTATCATTTGAGCACAACTGAGCTAACGTCTAATATCTGCGATGAGCTGGGAATGGACTCTTTTGGATCTTACGCTGCCCAGCTGAAGGATGCTGTGGATGTAGCCCTCATCTTTTTCTGTCTGCTTCCTAAAGCGGATGGTTTGCTCCATCTCGTTGGGGTTGATGTCTTTGGGCCATCCGCCCTCCACGTGGTTCGTCCCACAGTTGATGGACTCAAAGTGCTCCATGTTTATCTGGAAACAACAAGCAGCTCCTCAGTTTCACCTGATCCAAGTCGGGCCAAATAGTTTCACTTGAACTTATTAAAATTAACATGTATGTTGTATTAATAGTATAATTTTACTCAGAGAAATCAAAAACCTGACTGACTTTCTTACACAGTATTTTTTTTCTTACAGTAAACTATACTTTTCAAGTAAATTAAAAAAAAAGACTTGATGATAAGAAATGTTGTTCATATGATGACCACAAATAAATGCAAACAAACAAATATCAATAAGTAATTAGTAATTTAAACAAGTAGCAATTAGTGCTGCTGTCAGGCCACAATGTAATCAGTTATTTTACATTTTACTTATACAAAATCTTAAGTCAACATATTTAAATGCATCTAAAAACTAAATTTAAACATTTTTATCATGTGAAATACTCAGTTGTTTTAAACACATAATCTCACAAAACAATTAGAGAATTGTTTTATATGTTGCGAGGAAAAACGTCCCTAACTGTTGAAGTGACACACAACATTTACAAACATGGCAATAAATAATTTACAAATTCAAGAGAATCATACACGCTACATTATCCATTTATTTTCACGAACAAAGACACCAAATGAATTTTAAAGATAAAATATATTTTTCAGCTCAATATAAAAAGTGTCATTTCCAGAAAACGTCCCCATATTTATCTGATGGTTTTATCCTTTGAAAAAGAAAGTCCCAAAAATAGTATTTCATATCTAAAGTTTAATGATTGCAAATATTTAGTCTGTCATTTGCTGCTTAATACACAGTCACTAAATCAGGAAGTTGTGTGTATTTAAGTTGTGCATCATTTGGCATGTACTCAGATTATCACGTGATTTTTGACACAGTAGTTTGGGTTTGAATAAGTGGTGGAGGTGAACGTACCTGGTGCTCGGACATGTCCCTGCAGGCCTGCACGGCCTGGTCTCTGTAAGGTTTCTGGACGAACTGCGCCGCCAGGCTCGGTTCCGGGGGAAGGTCCAGCAGCAGCTCCTCAAACCGGTCAGAAAACAGAGCCGGGCGACCAAACTCTTTGCGAAGCTTCGTGTACACATGGACGACCTCCATGGTGGCGGATGTCCCCGTGTAACCAACTAAAACTGGGACAGGGTGACAAAAACACCCAAACTGGACAACTAACCGAAGCAAAACTTTATGGCGGCGGCGCAGTGTGTTGTATCCTAGCAACGCCGGTGAGCTGCTTAGCAACGATTTTTTTTTTTCGAATAAACTTTATTGCACAAGCAGCAAAACAATTTGAATCCATAACGCTAAAGTTAAATCTATTTAACAGCAGAGGTTATATTTTTATATTTGATCAAGGCATTTTGATCGATATACTGTAAGTAAATTTAGTTGTTTGTCCAGCAGAGGGCGCAAGTTATTCTCAACGCTGGGCTCCCTCTCATAAAAGATGCTAACCAAACTAAAACTTAAAAAACTAAACTAAAAAGTACTTTGTGTTGTCATCATTGTATGTTCCCATACAAGGATGAAATTGGCTCTCTGCATTAACCCATTGCATCTGGGTGGAGCAGTGGGCAGCCCAGGGAGCAATTCGGGATTGGGTGTCCTGCTCAGAGACACTGTGAGATGTGCAATGACCAGAGATCGAGCCCAGGACCTTGGGGTCCTGAGCCGCTACGCCATCTCAGCCCCTGTGTAAGGTGATATGTTACATGCATATATATGTAAGGTGATATGTAAGTTGATATGTTAGGTGACATGTAAAGTTTGGGGCGGCTGTGGCTGAGTGGTAAGAGCAGTTGTCCTCCAATGCAAGAGTTGGGGGTTCGAATCCACCAGCAGTCACACGCTGAAGTGTCCCTGGGCAAGACACTGACCCCCTCAGAGCCTCTGATGTGTGTCCCATCAGTGTATGAATGTGATAAATCACTGATTAGTCTCTTTAGAATGATTTGTTCAATTAGCTTTAGAGATCTAGTAGAGTGCTGTATGAATGGGTAAATGAGGCACAGATTGTCATCCATCCATCTACTGTCTGTCTGTCAGATTTGTTTAAAATCTGACCAGTCTTTAGGGTTGTCAGAGATCCTTTATTTTGAAATTTGACCCGGAAGTAATCCCGTGTTTATTTTATTGGGGGGCAGCGCCATAGAGAGGGTTCTGTTTGGGGGGTTGTATGCGCATGTTCAATGAAGGATGCTTGGTTTAGTTTACGTGCGTGAGGCCAAGTAAAAACTGAAACATTGAACCGTAACCGGTAAAAAAACAAAGACAGAAGGAAAAAGTCCTCCGTGTCTGGTTTAAAAAAATGTCCAAGCTCCAGAGTTTGAAGGTTTACATCAGCCAGCGGCTCTCCGCGGCTGTGGACGACATTTTGGGACATTTAGAGATGACAATCCTGGAATATGAAGAAGAAACGGAGCGTCGACATCGAGACTTTTCGGCTGAAGTGAAGCATCAGGGAGCAGGTTAGCATCATGTTATGCTAAGCTAATGTTAGCTTGTAAACAACTCGTCTGCAGCAGCCCCAAGAAAACTTACCCCAAACTCTGGTTTTATGGAATATTTTCATGTTTCCAGAACTACTGATGAAAAACAGTTCATGCAATACTGAAAATAAACATATATTTCGGCACAGCAAGTTCTCTTCCATCCCACTCTGTCCTCCATCTACCTCCATGACTGCAGCCATAGAGCAAACAAACAGACAGCACTTCACTTTTTCCACATTTTATGTTACAGCCTTATTCCAAATCTCTTTCCTCAGCATTCTACACAAAATGCCCCATTATGACAATGTGAAAAAATATTTTTGCACATTTATTGAACACTTATGAAATTACATTTACATAAGTGTTCACAGCCTTTGGCATGAAGCTCAAAATTAAGCTCAGATGCATCCTGTTTCCCCTGATCATCCTTGAGATGTTTCTTCAACTTGAAGGGAGTCCACCTGTGGTTCAGTTGATTGGGCTCGATTTGGACATATGTCTGTATAAGGTCCCACAGTTGACGGTGCATGTCAGAGCGCTAACATCAAGCATGAAGTCAAAGGAACCTCCGAGACAGGATTATGTTGAGGCACAAATCTGGGGAAGGATACAGAAACATTTCTGGTGCTTTGACGGTCCCAATGAGCGGTGGCCTCCATCATTCGTAAATGGAAGAAGTTTGGAACCACCAGGAATCTTCCTAGAGCAGGCTGGTCGTCTAAACTGAGCGATCAAGGGATAAGGTTCGTAATCAGGGAGGTGACAAGAACCCAGTGTTCACTCTGTCAGACCTCCAGCGTTCCTCTGTGGAGAGAGGAGAACCTTCCAGAATGACGACCATCTCTGCAGCAATCCACTGATCAGGACTGTGTGGTAGAGTGGCCAGATGAAAGCCACTCCTTAATAAAAGGCACCAGGAAACCAGGCACCGCTCCTCACCAGGCCAATGCCATCCTTAAGTGAAGCATGGTGGTGGCAGCATCATGCTATGGGGATGTTTTTCCAGCAGCATGAACTGGCAGACTAGTCAGGATCGAGGTAAAGATGAATGCAGCAATGAACAGAGACATCCTAGATGAAAACCTGCTCCAGCGCGATCTTGACCTCAGACTGGGGCGTCATTTCATTTTTCAGCAGGACAATGACCCAAAGCACACGGCTAAGATCTCACAGGAGTGGCGTCAGGACCATTCTGTGAATGTCCTGGAGTGGTCAAGCCAGAGTCAAACATGTTGTGAAGAGCAGACTTTGATAGATCCCTGTTCTTTAAATCAAACATGGTGCCCACTCACACCTGAAAACTCCTGACTTCAATTTCACCTTCAAATTAACTGCTAATCCTAGAGGTTCTTTTACCACTTAAAAGTGTAATATTGGATAATTTCCCGCAATAAATAAATGACCCAAGTATAATATTTTTTGTCTCATTTGTTTAACTTGGTTCTCTTTATCTGCTTTTAGGACTTGTGTGAAAATCTGATATTTTAGGTCATTTATGCAGAATTATAGAAAAATTTTAAGGGTTCACAAACTTCCAAGCACCACTGCATTGGGTTAAGGAATGGGGAATAAGGTGGGAGATATTCCACTAGCATCCTTTAATGTGCTGCAAACCACTTGACCAGATCCGAGAGGTGAAAATGCACATTATCCTATACAAACACACTTGTTCAGATGGTTACAACCAAGGCCTCACACACTCCTCATCACTGAAAGCTGAGGTTCACCTGAGAGAAGTTCAATTTGGGAGACATTTTCAAGAAAAAAGAAGAAAGAAATGCATATAATCTGCTTGACAGATTTTGTGTTCAACATTTTTGCATGTACTGAAATGAGCAGTGAAATATATATAGTTCATTTTGACTGACAGGACATAAGCAAATTATAATGTTATAAAACAGCAAAGAATTATATGGAAACATGTTTTTTAGTGTATAAAACTAAGCACTGTTTAAAAAATTTACCATGATATTGTGTTTATGTTAGGAGATATTCCGGTGTTTTTAAATTACAATGTTACTCGTTTAAAAAAATATTTTTCAGTACTATAAAATATGTGTAAGCTCATATATGAAGTTGCGATTCTTCTTGTGCCTTTTGTGGTTCAGGCGTTCCTCCAGATGCCCCAGAGACAGAAGAACCTCCCCCTCAGCAGCAGCTGGACAGAAGCTCCTCTGTGGCCAACAAGAACCCAGACTCAGAATCTCCACTCATTAAAAAGGAACAGGAGGAGACTCATATCACCAAGGTGACATTCTGTCATATCAGTGTGAAAAATGAGGAAGATGAGGAGGAAGCTCAGTCTTCACAGCTTCATCACAGGCAGACTGAAGGGAACATAGTCACTCCGGAGGAAGAAGGCTGTGGCGAACCTGAACTTAATATTGATTACTTGAGTCCAGACTACAAAGAACCAACGTCTGATGTCAGAGTTGAGGATTTTAACGCCACCATGGAGCCATATTCTGGAGCAGAAAGTTCCAACCATATAAATACCGGATCTAATAACAGAAACACATTCCAATGCTCTGAATGTGGGGAAAGATTTAACTCTCCGAGTTATCTTAAGTTACACATAAGATGTCACACGGGTGAAAGGCCTTTCAAGTGTCCAGTGTGTCGGAAATGTTTTATGTGGAAAGGACGTCTTCAGAAACACATGAGAATCCACACAGGAGAGAAACCATTCAGGTGCTTGGTGTGTGGCAAAATGTTCAGCGAAAGTGGAAACCTGAAGGTGCACATGAGGCTTCACACGGGAGAAAAACCTTTCATCTGCTCCATTTGTGGAAAAGGTTACGCACAAAAGGGGAATTTGAAAATGCACATGGCAGGCCATAAAAGAGAGACAGTATTCGGATGCAGTCTTCATCGGTCGTCTCAGCTCCATCACAGCCTGACTAAAGGGAACATAAAGGCTGCGAGAAGACCCGAATCAGCTGCAAACTTGGACGCAGAGGTGCATTTAGAACAAGGCACTACACTCAGTTTGGACCATGGGACTGCGAACTGTGCGGGGTGTAATGAATGCAAAAAGCCACTCAGCTGCTCTGAGTGTGGGAAGAAATTTGACTTTAAGGGGCAGCTCAATTCACACATGAGGTCTCACACAGGAGAAAAGCCCTTCAAGTGCCCCATTTGTTTGAAATGCTTCTCGTGGACTGCATGTTTGCAGAAACATATGAAAATCCACACAGGGGAGAAGCCGTACAGATGCACAGTGTGTGGTAAAGGTTTTATCGACAGTGGAAACCTGAATGTTCACATTAGGAGTCACACAGGAGAGAATCCCTTCAGCTGTTCAATTTGTGGGAAAAGCTACAGACGGAAGGGAAGTCTAAACAAACATTTTGAAATCCACCGAGAAAAGAAATGATTTCAACCCATTTAGACGTCTCAGAAACCAGAAGCTGTGGAGTATATTTTTCTTTTAATAATTTTTTTTAAAGCACGAGCTGTTATGTTGCTGCGTTATATTACGTTGATTATTTTTTTTATTGTTTAAGTAAAGAAGGCAAACACGTTTGATCAAGATCATGTTTTATTGGCATTAATGGCATATAAAATTCTCTACTAGATGTTTTATTAGTATTTTGACTTAATTATAAT